GGAATGGCTTTCAGAATAGATTTCCTAGAATTAGATTCCGATAACAAGTGTTTGTGCGGCGAATCAATCATTACATTCACATCCCTATTGCCGGCCCCACTGTCCTCCTCGAGTCGAGTAGGCCTGTCCTCATTGATACCCAACTTATTATTCAGCCATCGATTCATGTGACTATTGGATGAATTGACGCTATTGTCGGGTTTTTCTGTGGGAAATATGGTCTCATATAAGATATCCATATTCTGTGCGAACTCTGGACTCTTGATAAACGCCGGGCGCGCGAAGGCGTTCACCATCGATGCCGACTCTAACTGATCGGACATACGCTTAATCCTATCGAGAGCTGCGTTACAATTGAACGCAGACTTCCTGTCCGTCACGTCTTCGGCCGTACGGACCTTATTGTGACTCAACGACCACTGACTCCTACTTTGCCGGTTGTCTAACGTGTGATACTTTTGACGCCTCGTGACGGTCTGCCCGCCAGTCTGTGGGCCGTAATTGTATTGCTGGCCATACGTCGTGATCAACAGCTCGTTGTCGTCAAAGGACTCGCCGTTGTGGTTGTGGTCTGCGGTATGAGTGCAACAGTTATTATTGGATGTCTGGAACCGATGGCAGTGACAGGACGGCAGGAGTGATGAGCTTTTCGTGACTGACTGGTCGTCGGGATTGACGGGTATGGGGCCGGCAGGTGTGGGGCACTCCTTATTCTGTTGCAAAAGCGTTTCAAACAGTTTTTTGCACGACTTTCGCATGTTTTGCTCGGAAAGTGGTAACTCGTCGTCAAACCGGACGCGAGGTTTTGCGCCATAACTTAATGAGAGATTCGTCGATTGATTGACCCTTTAATACATACAAACATATTGTAGTCAAAAATGTGTTAAAAACGAGTCGACAACGAAATACTCACTTGTCTTTGAAATTGTGGTCTTCATCGGAGTTGGAGGCCGTGGAACCTATCCTATGGCTGTTGACAAGGGCTACGATTCCCGAGTCGTTATCACTCTCTATATGAATAGTGGTGTACAAAAAAAACATGATATAATTTTTGTTAATGTATGAAATGTGTATTTAAAAACAAATTGAGAGCAATGAATGCACACAAACCCGGAATTATAGAGTCAGGACTGGTATCCATGAGCTGCAAATCGGATGAACTGTTCATTTCACTCGAAGACATATCATCCATATTTGATGTCATATTTGATTGATTTTAAGGCGAAATATAATTTCTTATATCGCTCTAAAAATTAGTTATGTATTGATTTCAGTTGATTACTCAATAATCAGCCAAAAAATGTGGTTTTGTTACGAAAAAAAGTATTTTTTGGGAAAAACTTTTTCCAACTCTCGCTTTCCCTCTCAGTTCGGGTTTCAAAACCCTTTTGATGTCATTTGGCATTTGCCACAGAAATCACTTTCAAATCACTTATCAGTTCCAGTAGTCATGAGGTGTGATCCAAATGCCTGTACAAAAATATTAAGAAAATATAAATGTCAAAATTCAATATAAAAATTCCGATTTTGTTTACTCCTAATAAAGGTGCAGGTGTTTTGCATTATGGCTACACATTAAACACCTGCATATAAAATAGATATGATATACAATATTTTAGATATACTCTTCCCGCCTAACTTACCAGTGCAAGGATTACGCAGATTATCTAATGTAGATATCCTCGTTATCCTAATCTATCTCTAGCTCTAAGCCATAATCCATATAATTTTAATGATAGCATAGGATAGGAATGTTAACATCATATGACGGATACATATTTAGGCGCAAAATTAATTTGAAAATAATTTGTTTAAAAACTAATTTAGAGACAAAACACAGGCAGCAAAACAAAACTGAAAATAACGCACTTTTTTTTAACTTAATTATAGATATCATTGAAACGCTATTATATTTGACACAACAAAAGAGATTACTTTAATTTGTTTGTAACACAAAAGCAAATTATCTTAATTTCTCTGTTTAACTGTGAAATGAAATTATGATTTAAGAGACAAAACACTAAAATTAGAAAATTGTATAAAAGAGTTAAGAGTTTAAAAAAAATTATTATGATTTGAGACGAGATATACATAATGAGAGAGAGAGAGAGAGAGAGAGAGAGAACGTAAAAAACTATTGGCAAATAAAATGTAAAATATAGATAAATATTGAGTCGAAATAAATAGTGCATTAAAGCGTACGACTATTAATACTTTGTTTTTTACAAAATAAAAAGTTATTCAATACATTGTAAGCATGGGTTCGGTATCATAGCTATAGGGGAACAATAGGGAACAGTAGCGCAAGAAAAATAATACATGACTTTAATGGCGAAGAATAGTAAAGAAGTAGTCGTTTGGCTGAAGTGATTGCCACCGGAAATACAGATTACGCTTTGGAGTGATTATGACCTCAGGCTATATGTGTGTGTCGTTTGTGTCTCATTTTAATGAGATATCCATTACGATAGACATAGACACTGATGAGAGAGAAGGAAAATTATCTCTCGTTTTATTTCTCTCTCTCTCTTTATACTCTCATTCAACTCATTACATAACGTATGCCTTAGTATTCGGTCACAAATTCACGACACAATTGTCCGAATAATGCATTTCATAGCTTTTGTCTCAATTGGTTTTATCGCCACAAATCAAAAAACCATATTTTCTTTCTTCTTCGCGAGCTTTCGATTTTTGTCTCCAAAAACAACAACAATTTTCTAAAGATTTTTGGCAAATCTTAATGTCTTTTACTTTTTATTGCGATAATTATGAAGTCGAGCGAACACAACGACAGATAAACAATTTTTGCGCAAAAAAAAATTAGTGAAAATCTTAAACTTTTTTTATTCATTTTTCTAATTTAATGACTCTTAAGGGCTGAGAGTATACCGTATGTCTGCCACTATTTTGTCTGTTTATATGAGTTTTTTCACTAGATTTTGAGTACTTTTGACAGCAAAATATATCGTGTAATTAAGTTTCTGGTAAAATATAATAATTATACACTTTATTGTATGGTTTTGGTTCACTATATAAGAGAGGTTGCCTTTAATGCACGAAATGGTTAGGAGGAAGTGCACTCATTTGACACTATAATCAAAAAACTTTGGCCACAAATAACACTATTAAAGTAGGTTTTTTTAGAAATTCAAAAACTCATTAATCGTTTTTACAAATGATTAACTTTTTAGTCTAATTATAACTTCGGGTTTCTGTGTGACAGCGAAACACAATTATCGATCACTTAATCGTTTAGTGAATCTTAATTTGGATTTTGAATTGTTTTCTTTTCAATTTATATTTAGATTTTTAATGTTCACAATAATTAACAAAACAAATATTATAATTGAATTTTTTGTTATTTAACTCTTTAACGCTATTTCGAAACTCTATACTAATCTCTCAGACAATAGTAATAATAATATGAAAAACCTTTTTATTTCGTTCAATTGACTGATAATAATACCGGTTATCAAACAAATCATAATCAAAACGTAAATATAGTTCAGTGTATAATACTATAATCATTTGAATATTGATATAACATTAGATATAATCTTTTTAAATTCTTTTATATGGGAATACTTTCTATACATTAGTTACGGGACTGTAGGGCAAGACTGGGAGAGTGAATGCCATAAGAATTCACTGCTTTTTCTTTTTTAGATAATACCTCAGCTCTCATACCAATAGATAGTCTTTAAAAACGATTGTTGAGAGAGAGAGAGAGAGAGAGAGAGAGAGAGAGACTGGGAATGTCTTGAAACGCTTCATAAGTATGTTGCAAATTATGAGATCGTGAGTGGGAGTGAAGTGGACTGTAAAAGAGCACAGGTATCACAGGTATGCACATCTTCATCGGTGGCCGACTGGATAGGAGGGACTGTTATGTTGGTGGCCGGCCGTCACCACAAAAAAAACTCTTAACACAAATAACTCTATTTCGCATAAAAACCAAAAATATGTTATTATTTGGGAAATAATGATAAAAAAGCGAAAATCGTATGAAATATTCGCCGCAAATGTTTGTCGTCGCCGTCGGACAGCAATTGTTTGTTAAATATTTATCTTATATTTCAATCAAACGTTAGTTTTTGCTGTAATAATAGTTTTATATAAATTTTTTTATTATATTTCATTGGAGTCTATCATCAGATATGAAATTAATATAATGTTTGAGTATTGAGTTATTTCTTTCATAGAAACCACAATTGAATGTCATTTAGTTTTTGTGTGTGTAATACATTTAAGAGTATTAGAAGTTATTTAAGTTTTTTGCTTTTGCTTTAAGTACAAAAAAGCTTTTGAACTAAACTTTTGTTGACTTTATCTATAAATGCAATCAATCCTCAAATCAGTCATCGATATCTTTGACATACAATATATTCATTGTTAATACGAGTCTCTTATTAATTAAAAAAACATAATCTTTTAGTCGTTTTCTTAATTGATTTAAAAATATTCATTAATTGATTAAATCTTCATACATACGAAAACGATATCTCGTATTATAATCTTTACTTTTATTTTAGCAAATATTTGTTGCGAAAAACTTTTATTTGTACGTTTTAATGCTCGCAACAAGAAAAATATATAATTAGTTAAGCGTTAAAGAGTTTGAGGAATTAAAAAGTTTTTATTTTATTTTATAAATAAAATTTTTTTACTCACTTTAATAAACTGATAATACGATGAGTTTCCTCAATACCAGAGTATTGCAAAACATATCATTAATTATAACTTTTAATTTATAAGCCAAATCTCAAATTATCGAAATGTATATAATTTGCGTTTTGCAGTCATATATATTTTTAGGTTAATTGCAATTAAAACACAACCTATTCATTAGTATAATAGTCAGTCAATAACACGAAAAAAATATTTTTAATCCAATGAGAAATACGCATAACTGTTGATGAATAACACATTAAACAAAAACTTTTGATTTTTGCACAAAACTTTCATTTAATGACTGAAAAATATTTGTTGAAAAACTATTTTAATTTATTGCATTTGGCATTTAAATACACAATTCAAATGATTTAGCATTTATTGCCACAATAGAGAGTGAAATACTGGCAAATCACATATTTATTCAACAAATAAAAAAAGTTTTTAATAAATTCATTGATAGGTTTACATCACACATAACAGTCAAACCGTATATTTGAATCGGAAAACAAGTCTTATTCGCGTTATTCTGGGATCACATGCGAGTGAATACTAAATGCTGTCATGTTATTGAAAAAACACTACAACACTACCTGCGCTACACTACCTGTGCTGCAATGCCAGCACCGAAGCCAATCGACTCTCTGCATAACATTTAGCGGAATGACTATAATATACGCAAAATCTGCAGCCGTTTCCACAAATAGCACTTTAATCATATACTGGCGCTCACGGGGTAGTAGTCTATGAGTGTACGCAATGTGTATAGCGTTGAGTACACCTGTAATCAAAGCTCTGGAGAGATAGAGAAATAAGTTTTTTCATTTCAATTCAACGCCACTTTTCAATGAATTTCGTAGAAAACAGGTTTCCATGTGAAGAGGGGTCGATAGGATAGGGGTCACTATATATATTTTTTAATAAGGCTCCGGGCCATTTCTCATTGGCGCTGACTTTTCCCATACCATCCGCGCGTATACAATGTATTCATATGTAATATAATGAACTTTTTTACACCAAAAAATTCATTGGCAGTCGACGTTAATTAGATTATGAGTTCTCTCCCTTTAATCTCATCAGTTATATAACACTTGTATAAAACTTTCTCAGCTACTCATCCATCCATCCCTATCCACTCAATATGTCAATAGTTATTATAAGCGAACGCCAGTTCCCTCGATAGCACTGACATACATTTTTGCAGCAAGTTTTTGTATGAAGTGTTTTTTATTCAATTGAATTCAATTTTTATACTGTTTTTCATTTGCTATTGAATTCGTATAATAATTTAGACAATAGTTTTGTGTCGACTCGAGAGAGATGTTTATATGAATAAAATTATTACTGTTTTTTGTCTAATTCCCAATTCAATGATTCATATAATGTAATGACTTATATAAAAAAAGTTATAATCATTTGCATTAAATATAATCAAATTCTTGTTATATTAATAATAAAAACTTTATGTCGGAAGCCGTGGAATAACAATAAAATATTTCTTAAAATGTTATTTCAAAAAACTATTAATAAACTATTAAAACAGTTAACAAAATAATCGTAAATATCATCTTCAGTATAGGCATCAAAGGCTCAACTATTGTATAAATGATTGCATAAATCACTACATTTTTCATCACTACATACCTCTCTAGAAGTCATGTAATAGTAAAATTCAATTTTAAAACT